TCAAAATTCTTGTTTTCCAACTTCCCTGTGCTTTCATCATGTATGCCAAAGGTTCTTTAAGATGTTTGGGAGGTGCAGCAGGATGACGAGGTGAAGGAAACACACTCCGTTCACTGTAAACAGCGTTCTAAAGTTTCTTCTCCCAACCTGATATTTTAAAGAATTCCTTAATGTCTTGTTTTAGTGATTCAAGTTTAATCTCAGGTCTCTGAAGACTGGTGTTGAGTGCCATCCATGCCTTCTCCAATGCCTAGCTGTTTTCTTTTAGCATATTCATACCCTATCATTTGCATTCTTTTTTCAGTCATTAATTGAACACTTCCCATGTGCCAAATGTGAATACTTACTATGTGCCGGGCATATTATTTTGGTCAGTCCTCACAAAATGGAACTTACACTTCCAAGTTGAATGGAGTAGCTGGTGGCTGATCAGCACCCTGGCCTGGAACAGCCAGGTCTGCCACTCTAGCTGAGTATACAAATTGGAGCCTTTGAGTTTTTGGACTATATGAGCAATAATGAGAGACAGATCGGACTCCTCCTGCAATATTTCCCTTGCCCTAGCCCACCAAAGCATGGGGACAGGCCGCCAGCAGAGAGAACGGGCCACCAGCTCCCACTCTGGGCCAGTAAAACTTCTGCAGGACCTTATTACATTGGGGCTTCTCTGGCAGGTGTTACCAGGCAACTCTCACTGACTATTTGAAAGTAGTTCACCAGGCCTTTTTTCCAAGGTGCCTCTTGGTGGACTTAAACTGCCATCCTTTCAGTTAGCAGCCAAGGGTATGACTCCCCAAAAGTTAAGGGATATAACTATATTTAGAAACTTCACAGTAATTGAACTTTCTTTTTCTTTTTTTTATTGTACTTTAGATGAAGATTTACAGAACAAACTAGCTTCTCATTAAACAGTACACATATTATTTTATGACATTGGTGAACACCCCCACGATATGTCAGCACTCTCCCTTCTCTACCTCGAGTTCCCCATTACCAGCTTTCCTGTCCCTTCCTGCCTTCTAGTCCTTGCCCCTGGGCTGGTGTCCCCCTTTAGTCTCATTTTCTTTAATGGGCCTGTCTAATCTTTGGCTGAAGGGTGAACCTTGTGAGTGACTTCATTACTGAGCTAAAAGGGTGTCCAAGGGCCATACTTTCAGGGTTTCTCCAGTCTCTGTCAGGCCAGTAAATCTGGTCTTTTTTTGTGAGTTAGAATTTTGTTCCACATTTTTCTCCAGCTCTGTCTGGGACACTGTATTGTGATCCTTGTCAGAGCAGGCAGAGGTGGTAGCCAGGCACCATATAGTTGTACTGGCTTCAGTCTGGTGGAGGCCGTAGTAGTTGTGGTCTGTTAGTCCTTTGGAATCATCTTTCCTTTGTGTCTTTAGTCTTTTTCATTCTCCCTTGCTCCCGAAGGCGCAGTAATTGCACTTTTAAAAATTATCTTAGCATCATTGGTCTTGTTCAGGCTTGTAACATATGTATTATGCTAAAACTACATAGCTTTTAAGTACTTTAAGTCTTAGGAATGGTATTATACTGAAGCACTAATAAGTAGCAAAAGCTCAATTGCTTTCTTATACTGATTTTTTTTTTGTCAATTACATTTATTTATTTATCTTCTGGAATTGTAATTTTAGAGATGTGCTGTTTTCATTTGACTGGGACCCTTAACCCTTTGGTAGTCTCAGGATCTCTGCCATAAAGTTAATCATTCGTAAACAAATCTTTAAATTCATCAAAGGAATTCAGGTAGTTGGAAATCTGAAGTGTTAGAGCTGAAGCAGTCATGAAGACCTTCTTGACTGCTGCTGTGCAGTCTTGTTGGCAGAGGTTGTATTTTGTACTTCTTTGCTTTCTCCAATACCTAGTGTAACATTGGATGTATGTTTTAAATATTTCAGTGGAATGTGTTATATATTTTCCTGATGCTGAATTTGTCCCTGTGATTTAGTTTTCTAATGTTAATTGGGTAACCCTTGGGAATATTCAAGGAGAGGCACTGTGGAAATGTGAAGGAAAGCAGAGTGCCAGGGGTTGAATGGCTATTAGATATGCTGTCTTTCCTGGAAAGATGCAGGCCTGGAATGAGTTTAACTGGGAGATTTCCTCTCCACTCAGGGGAGTGTTTGCAGGTGGGGCGTGTACTTGAGGGTGTTCCTAGACCCAAGTACAGTGACCTCTAAGATCCGAACTTTCTGGAGGTGACCTGTGGTCCTTAAGTTTCATGAGAAACAGTATGGACCAGTAGGCAAGAACATGCCTTTGGGATCTAAATAGGCCTGGTTTGAATCCCAGTTCTGCCAGTTACTAGATGGACCATTTGGATAAAATACTTCATTTCTCTGTCTCTTGGATAGAGATTACTATAAAAATGAGGTTACTAATAAACCCACCTCATTGGGTAGTTCTGAAGAGTCAAGTGTATACGGTAAGTGCTTAGTAGAGTTCTTTTCCTCCTCCTCCTTTTTTTGTAAGCAGATCCCATGAGAGAACCAGGAGTCATATGGTTCTCACTCTAACCCAGCTAATCCCAAGAAGAACATGATAGGCTATGTGGTTGGTCAGCTCTTATTGATCAAAATGCTCTAACACAATGTATTTCTACCCTCAGTCATCTGCATCCCATCTTTATGCTTTTTGCTATAGTCACATACTTCTTTTTAAATTTCAAATGATTTTAAAACATTATTTTATTTTTATTATAATTGAGAATATACACCGGAGAAACATACACCAATTCAGGTTTCTAAATGTAGATTTCAGTAACATTGATTACATTCTTCAAGTTTTGCAACCGTTCTCACCCTTCTTTTCTGAGTTGTTCCTCCTCTACTAACATAAACTCACCGCCCCCTAAGGCTCGTATCTAATCTTTCGAGTTGTTATTGTCAGTTTGACCCCATGTAGATAGATCTTAAAAGAGCATAATGCTGAAGGCACACATTCTTTACAAATTAGGCTAGTTTTTTAAGAAAACTTCAGGGATATTTTTGGTTTCAGGTTTAAAGATTATCTCAGGGCAGTAGTTTCAGGGGTTTATCCAGCCTCCATGGCTCCAGAAATTCTGGACTCCATGGGAATTTGAAATTCTATTCTGCATTTTCCCCCTTTTGATCAGGATTGGGTTATAGAATTTTTGATCAAAATGTTCAGTAATGGTAGCTGGGCACCATACATTTCTTCTGGTCTCACAACAAAGAAGGCAGTTGTTCATCTTACACTGACTTTTTAAAAATTCCTTTAAGTATCCAGCATGGTGCCTGTTACAATAACAGTTGTACAAGCTGATTTAATGAATGAGTTAATGGAATTTTAAGCAGGTGTGTGTGTGTATGCTGCAAAATCAGTAGTGCTTCTCTGACATGAGCTGTGCTTCCTTTTACAAAATCTGATGCCATTGTATAGAGCATAAAGAGCAGTTTGTTGTGTTGTCATCATCAGAAAGGCAGAAGGGGACAGAGAATTATTTTGGGGAAAAGGATTAGATTAGAAGACAGAATATTGAAAGAAATAATAGCTGAAGCTTTGGGTTGAGTGTGCAATTGTACAGGGAGGGCAAAATTTTTGAGAAACATCCCTTTCAGCAGAAAAGAAATCTCAGCACCAGTTCTTACTAACGTCTCTTAACTTACTAAGAGTAGTCACTATTATTAGTCATCATTTCCAGCTTTTAGTTGATCTATTACTTTTCATTGGCTCCTGTATTTTACTGTGGCCTTGGGTCAAATAGTGTAAGTGAAATTATAGGTAAACATGGACTAAAGATGTCAAGGCACCTGTTCTCATGATGACTAAATTGATAAGTCTAATAATATTTTCAAATCATTGAAAATTAATTAGTGTACTTTTTGTAGTTTTATAAAGGTAGTATCCTTGCATCGCCTCTCTCAGCTTGGGGCTTTGTTGAATAGAAAATATGTTGCATTTTAAGTGCATAAGTTTTGGGAAATAGAAATAATGGCTAAAATTAGATTCAAACATAATCTTTTGCCAACTGGTCTGCAAGAATGAGTTCCTTATTATATTGTCATATGTGTGTATGTCTGCCCTGTCTTCTTAACTACATTGTAAAGTTTTCGAAGGAGTTGAATTTTTCTTCTAAAGTTTTTTAGCATCTACATTGGGACCTGGAATAAGACCACTCTGATTCTATGCCTTGAACCATTGCTCAGGTCCAGGATTACATTTACATTTAGGTGCTTAAAAATCACTCTGTCACTTTCATATTGCCTGGATTTGGAAGGTGTCATTTTAGCAGGTGTTTCTCTAGTCTTATTGACAGTTGCGGAAACCCTGGTAGCCCAGTGGTTAAGAGCTTGACCGCTGACCAAAAGGTCAGCAGTTCAGAAGGTCAGCAGTTTGAATCCGCCAGGTGCTCGTTGGAAACCCTATGGGGCAGTTCTGCTCTGTCCTGTAGGGTCGCTATGAGTTGGAATCAACTTGACGGCAACGAGTATTGACAGTTGCTTAGGGGAAATTATCTTAGCACAAGGCAAATGACCTGTTCCACAGCAGTGGTATTTTACAGGTGTTCATTTGTTCTTGGAGAATGTGGTGCCAGTGTTTTGGATAAAGCTACCATTATTTATTAGGTTAATATTAAAAAAAAAAAATATATATATATATATATCTCATTATTAAAGTATAATACATACTAATTGAGGAAAATTTGGAAAATACATGAGAGTATAAAGAAAAAAATTAAAATCACGTGTACTGCCCCTTGCCTTCTGACTTGAACTGGCTAAACTTGAGAACTCATGGCCCGACCAGGAATTTATGTTAAAACTCGATAGTTAACATTTTCTATTAATGCAGCATTTCCTGCTCTCTCCTCCTCACCCTCCGTTTTTCTCCAGATATCAGAGAGGCTTTTCTTGGCTCCTTGAAATTAGTATCTTTTAAGAAATGTGTTGCTTGGTTAGTTGAATTTGTAAGCATGAGTACTTATTTTTCAGATGTATCTTTCTAATTTTGAAACTTGGTTCTTTTGATGCTAGTTTAACTGATGAAGAGTCTCGGAAAAATTGGGAAGAATTTGGAAATCCAGATGGGCCTCAAGGTGTGTTAAATAATGATTAAAAAATACTGTTGATATTGTACGTGTTAATGAAAATGTTAACAATCTAGATTAAAAGGAATATTTTGATTTTCTTAGTTTATGAATAAGAAAATTGTAACCATGAGGAATTAAATAGATATATAAATTGAGTTGCCTTTAATTTTTATTTTTATTTCTAGAGACTGGTTTGAAAGATAGAACTAAGGTTGATTCAAAGAGAAGAATAGTCACCATTATTATTCATCATTTCCGGTTTGCAGTTAATAGAAATTGAGTGAAAAAAATGTTTTTCTTTAGTAACTTTAAACATTTTCACCTATATTCATCATGTTTCTATAAACAGAACACAGAAGAATTTCAAGTTTTCTAGGATTTTTTTTTTCCTTGAAAACTTTAGTTTCAGATAATAAGTTATATTTCTTAATTTTTGTGTTATGGAGACATACATAATAAGGTAATCTTTGTCAAAGTTTTTTGTGGGGAGCCAAATTTGGGGATATAAATATATAAAACTGAATGTAGTTTCTTGGGAAACTATGATTTTCTTCCTATTTCAGCCACAACCTTTGGAATTGCCTTGCCAGCTTGGATAGTTGACCAGAAAAATTCAATTTTGGTGAGTGCATTTAAATAAGACACACCATGATGTATTTGGTATAATTTTTGTTAAATATGATGTGTCTTGTTATTACAAAGAGAATACTTGTATGTTTTCAAATTTAACTGTCTATTTAAAATATGATACATGCTTGTTGAAGAAAATTTGGAAAATAAATGAGAGTATTAAAATACTAATACGAATCACCAGCATTCTCTCTTGCTTTCTCAGAAAATGTAGTGGCCTTTAAAGTTTCATCTTCTGGCTTGAACTGTGAAGACAGTTTTTACATAATGGAGAAAGATTAGTTCCCATTATGAGGCTTCTGCTTTGGGACAGTATGTTCTAAAAGTAGTTTTAAAACATTAAAGTTGTGGTGATTTCTTCTCTTTTGGAAGTAGCTTCAGATTTGGTCCTACCCTTGGTTTGGGAAACTACTGGTTTTTTGGAAAATTCAAATTATCTTTTCTTCCACCTTTACCCAGGCGAAATTAATTTTAATGTATGCTAAATTAATTTTAATATGTGCTAAATTAAATGGTATATATTCCATATGGTACTTGAGAAGATAATCAGATATCAGACTTCAGTCAGTGATAGGTGCTGCAACTCCAAAGCATCAGGAATTATCTTAACCTATTGTTTAGGAATAGATGATTCCCTACTTCATCTTTCTTGAAAATAATTATCTAGGAGCTATATTTGAGGCAATTAAAAAAAAAAAAGATCCACACAGTCTGATTGTAATTTGTTTTGAAAAATGGCTGTTAAATCTTATGCTAAAATTTATTATCAGGGGTATATAGTTGCTGCGTATAAGCACGTTTATCATGCTTAGGATTATTCTGTGGGAGTAATAGAGAAGTAAGAGAAAGATAGTTACCAGAGTTGGGATCAAGCAGTAGGAGAAAAAATCTCAAATCAACAGACAGATACTACTAGCAAACAGAATCTTACAAAGTAGCTCTTCGATATTTAGCCAAAGGAACCATTTTAGCCAAGGGCACTTCTTATTATTTATTTCCAAGGCACTGACTGCTTGCAGGGTATGGATATGGACCTGACTGGAAGGGAAACATAATTTATAGAACTGTTTTGCTGGAGTTATTGATAGAGTATCAGTAGTAGCAAATTAAAAGGTAATTTGTTATAGTGGATAGGAGCATGGATTTTAGGGCTGGACTACCTGGGTTCAAATCCTGGCTCTACCACTTACTAGCTTTGTGACCTGTGACAAGCTGTGTAACATATATGTATTCCCTGTCTACAAAAGGAGAATAATAATAGTACCTTCCTCGTAGAGTTTGAGAATAAGGATTAAACAAGATAATACGTGAGGAGTGCTTTTAATACTGCCACCTGCGTTGTAAGCCTGAAAATAAATGTTCATGAATGTTGTTATAATTTACCTGACGAAGGTCATGCCTTTTTTCACTTCTTTCCAATTCTAGGTATTACTTGTTTATGGGTTGGCATTTATGGTTATCCTTCCAGTTGTTGTGGTAAGTTCTAGCTCTTTTTATTAATGTTTTTGGAAAGGGAATTGTTGGTGTGTTTTGGAGTCTCCCTATAAGACTGTAATTTGCACTAGAACATAATCCATGTTAAGCGCTTGGCTACTAAACAAAAGGTTGGTGGTTCGAACCCAGTTGCTGCTCCACGGGAGAAAAGATCTAGCTGTCTGCTTCTGTAAAGATTACAGCCTAGGAAACCCTATGCAGCAGTTCTACTCTGTCCTGTAGAGACGCTTTGAGAATCACCTCTACGGCACACAACAACATAATCCATTGATTATGTCTGATATCAGTCACTTGAGTCTGTTAAAGTGTATCTCCTTCCAATCCAAAAGTTTCACATAATTGAGATAATACAGATGTATTTAGAATTTAAAATGAAAGCCTTCCTTTACCACCTTCCTCAATTCTGTTTCTCAGAAATAATTACTAAGTTTATGTTTCTCTTTCAGATCTTTTTCTATGCATTTATGTATACTGTATTCACATGACTTTTTTTTTAAACTTTAATGTGATCATACTATATATATTGTTCTGTGACTTTTTTTTGCTTAATATATAGGGGCACAACATATAGAGCAACCTCATTTTTTAAACAGCTGCATAGTATCATAATACGGAGATACCATAAAGTTTATCTCTTGATTTTAAATGTTTAATACTTTTTCTTCTGGTGTCCTTGCTGATCCTTTAGTTCCTCTGAGTCCCATAGCAAGGCTAATAATGAACCAGTCTTCCTTTCTTCATAGGATTGTTGTGTGAGGCCCAATCAAATGAAATAATGTAAATGAAAATATCATGCCAACTGTAAAATTGCTTCTAAACTTATTTATCAAATATTTATTGAAAACATGCTGTGTGTTAGGGACCAACTTGATGCTTATTCCCATTTTGTGTTCAAACAAGGTATTTAGACTCCAGACAGTATAAATATTTACTAAATAAATCATTTGAAATATGTAACAAAGTGGCATTTGTTTTAAAGCTCAGATGTTTTATTGGTTTATGAATAATTGGAAAATTTGACCGTAAACATATTCTTAATCAAACTTAAAATGTTAGTTACTTTTCATATGTTACTTCTTGTTTATTTTATTTATATTTTAGGGCTCTTGGTGGTATCGCTCAATACGTTATAGTGGAGACCAGATTCTAATACGCACGACACAGATTTATACATACTTTGTTTATAAAACCCGGAATATGGATATGAAACGTAAGTAAACTTTTAGTCAGATTATTTGAGTCATTTATATGCAGTTGATATATATTCCATAACTGTACAGGGAAATTTCATTTTACAGTTTTGTAGGTATTTTGTTCATATAACTAAAGCTGGAAGAAAATGCTAACACCTTTCATCACATTTCTTGATCTGTATTTCTATTACTAACATTTACTGAATTATATATTATCAGTTATATATCATCAGAAATTTTGGTAAAGCTTCATGTGTGCTGATTTTCTAATAATACTAGCTAACATTTATTGAATATTTGTTGTGTACCAGACACTGCTAGGGATTGCATATGTGTTAACTCATTTAATCTTCGCTCTGCCCCCATGAGTAAGTGCTGTTTTTAAGCACATTTTATAGGTGAGGAAGCTGAGGCACAGAAAAGTTAAGTAACATGCCCAAGGGTACATAATAAGTAGCAGAGCCAGTATTAACCCCAAGCAGTCTGGCTCTCAAACACTAAACCACTACATTATACTGTCTTAATTGAGGTAAAAATAAGTAAAAGTCTTGGCTATGTTGAAAGAAAACTGTCAGAATATTTCATTCCCAGAGTCTTATTTCAGAATTTCTTATTAAATAAAGAAATTTCCTAAATACTTTCTTTGATCCTATAAAACCAAATTTTAGTTTATCCTTTGAAGGTATAGTGTTGCTTTTCAGAATGACTACTTTTCAGAAATCATAGACCATCCCCCTTTCCCTTCTTAAAAAGAATATATGTTTATGTAATATTGTTTTTTTACTAATTTTACTAATTATCTTGGTAAGGAGAAAGATTTCCTCAGGATCGTATGACTGTGAACAGACTTATATTTCTGAGGAATAAACGAATGTTTCTCTCTCTTATACATACATAGTTTAGGATGGTGCTGGATTCAGATATCAATATAGGAACTTCTTACCTTATGAAAATATTCCATATTCATAATCTTTTTTAACATGTTTTTTAGATTAGTGAATTTAAGTTTTGATTGATTTCTTAGGGTGGCACTTGTCTCACAAAATTAATTTTGTCAGAAGAGCATTATTTAGCTGTTGGGTTTGGTTACATATCCTTGGTTATTTTAGCATTGGCACCAGCTCTGTAGCTAGCATAAGAACAGTTGTTTTCATGAAAACATTTGAGGGTAATTAATAGTAATTGTTGTTGTTATGTGCCGTTGATATCGGTTCCAACTCATAGTGACGCGTTGTACGACAGAACGAAACGCTGCCTAGTCCTGCACCATCCTCACAATCATTGTTACGCTTAAGCTCATTGTTGCAGCCACTGTCTGATTCTCTCCCATTGAGGGTTGTCTTCTTTTTCGCTGATCCTCTACTTTACCAAGCATTACATTCTCCAGGGACTGGTCCCTCCTGACAAACATGTCCAAAGTACATGAGATGAAGTTTCGCCATCCTAGCCTCCCAGGAACACTCTGGCTGTACTTCTCCCAAGACAGACCTGTTTGTTCTTCTGGCAGTTAATAGTAATAGCTAACACATAAACTATGCTTGCTATGCGTCAGGCACTCTTTTAATATTTTTACATATTTTAACTCATTTAATCCCCACAAAAAGCCTATGAGGTGGGTACATAAAAAGAAACTGAGGCACAGAGAGAGGTTACTTAGCTAGGAAGTGACAAAGCTCCAGGGTCCATACATTAACCGCTCTGCTGTCCTGACTTTCGCGAGTACATTACATGCGTTTTCCTGCCGTGAGGTGAGAGTGATGACTATAGTGCCAGTCTTTAAAGCTAATGAGAGTCTTGAATGTTAATGTAAGTGGCTGCAAGTGTGGTGTATTTTGAGGAACATTATTCCTCTAAATAGTGGACCCTGGTGGTGTAGTGGTTAAAGAGCTCAGCTGCTAACCAAAAGGTTGGTAGTTCAAATTCACCAGCTCCTCTGTCTTATAGGGTCGCTATGAGTTGGAGCTGACTCAACGGCAGTGGGTTTGTTTTTTTTTGTTTGTTTTGTTCTTCCAGAACTCTCCAGGGTTCCACGATGTCTGGAAATTACAGTGTATTTTAGTTTACAGAAGGCTCTGAGAAGTCAAAATTTGACCATAAGCCTGTAATGTTTTTTAACCCAGAGTAATGGTGTTTAACCATAAAATAAAAAAAAAGAAAAACCCATTGTCATCAAGTTGATTCCGACTCATAGTGACCCCAGGTATTACAGAGTAGAGCTGCTCCATAGGGTTTTCTTGGCTGTAATCTTTACAGAAACAGATCACCAGGCCTTTCTTATGTGGCACCACTGGGTGCATTTGAACCACCAACCCTTAGGTTAGTAGTTGAGCACAAACTGCGCCACTCCCCCAAAAAAGCCTGTTGCTGTTGGGTCAGTTATGACTCATAGCGACCTTGGAGGGCAGAGTAGAACTGCTCTGTAGGGTATCCAGGGAATGGCTGGTGGATTTGAACTGCTGACCTTTTGGTTAGCAGCTGAGCTCTTAACCACTGTACCACCAGTGCTCCAAGGACCATTATTTGACCACAGTGCCTGTTTTTTTCACATACAGTTATTAATATCACACAGAATACTAACGTTTTATAGAAAATTTCTGTAGAACGCATACTTGGGTCTAGAAACAGATGCTATTTTAAGTTATTTTAACGTATCCAGCTATTTAGAGGCCCTTAAATTGATGTATGTTTCTCTTCAGTTTTCTGTTGAGGTAATACTGTGTACATTTTAAAAAGTGGACGTTTCTTTTCCCTGAGAGAAATTAATACTTGTCAGTGTTGGAGTTCGGATGATTTTTAGTTTTGTGCATGGTTGAGGAAGTGCTTCACTTTAGGATTAATGAAGTATCTTTGGAGGGGAAACTAATAGATGAGCAACTTTATTTACTTTCATATTTCTTTTGTTTTCTTAGGTCTTCTCATGGTTTTGGCAGGAGCCTCTGAATTTGATCCTCAGTATAATAAAGATGCCACAAGCAGACCAACGGATAATATTCTAATACCACAGGTTAGGCCAGTCTACCAAATTCCATGGTGAGCATTTAAATACTAAAGCTAATGCTCTTTTAAGTATATATTTTTGAATAATTATTTTATTTACTCCAGCTAATCAGAGAAATTGGCAGCATTAATTTAAAGAAGAATGAACCACCACTTACCTGCCCATACAGCTTGAAGGCCAGAGTTCTTTTACTGTCTCATCTTGCTAGAATGAAAATTCCTGAGACACTTGAAGAAGGTATTTGTGATTCTACTGTCTACAGGGTTTTAATGGGACCAGAACAATGGATTTAATTAGACCTCATGATACAGTGTTTGTTGCTGTTCTTTTTTGCTCAATCAAGTAATTAATTGCTCAAGGACCTTTTTAAAAGAAATCTATATGCTACATAAATTACTTCACAGTTTTGAAGGTCTAAGTAAGTCAGATGTTTTGGCAAATGTTAAAATTTAGTATTTCAAGGTGAGAGAATGCTGTATGTAGGAAATGTTTAGTTAATTGCAGATGATGCAAAAATTCCTAATGACTTTTTGAAGGACTTTGTAAGCTTTTTGAGGAGGGAAAAAAATGATTTCACAACAATTGTCTCAATCCTCTCCTGCCACCATCCCCTTCCAACAGTGGTTAACGACAAAGTACCTGTTTAATCTGTATTTAAAGCTTTGTAAGTATTTGAAGCCATCCATTCTGCTTAAAAGAAAAGCAGTGAATTAGGACAGCAGTGTTTCCAGGGATTTCATTAATTTGAATGTCATCTCTTTTTCACCTGCAGTATTTTAATTGAAGTTTTAAAAGAACATTATCCTTAAGAAATAAATGTTCTTTGTGAATGAAATCTCTCACCCCACCTAGCCCCTTGTAAGCCAACAGTGCAGTCAAACGCCTCTGAAAGCAAGGCGACTTGATGCTCAGTAATTGGTGCTAGGATAGGATGCTTATGTTAGAATGAAGGAGCACTATTTAGGCATTGTCATTGGAGTTGTTTTGAAATATAAAGTTAAAAAACTAGTAATTTTGTTGCTAATGTTTTGTGTAGATATGCAACCATCTCCATTTTTACCAGTAATCTCTAGTAGAAACAGGGAATAATTTTTTTTTAGGTTGGATAGCAAACGCAGTGTATGGTGAACATTCTTAAAATAGTTAACTGTTCTGTGCAGTATAAATGGAAGAATCTCTTCTCCCTCTTTTCCCTTCTCTCTCTGCATTTAATTGATGCTTATTCTCAATCTTAGTCTTTGAACCTCTCCTTCATTATAATTACGGAGACATAACTGCCCAAGAAAAAAAAAATTAATATTTTTGTTGTTGTTGAGAATATGCACAGCAGAACATAACACTAATTCAACAATTTCTACTTGTATAATTCAGTGATGCTGATAACATTCTTCAAGTTGTGCAACAATTCTCACTCCCCTTTTCCAGATGGTTCCTCCCCAGTAACATAAACGCACTGCCCCCTAAGTTTCCTATGAAATTTTTCAAATTGCTGTTGTCATATCGATCCCATGTAGCTAGGTCTTAAAAGAGCATAATGCTCAAGACAGATTTTCTTTTTTTTTTTTTTAACTTTTTTTTTAAATTGTACTTAGATGAAGGTTTAGAGAGCAAACTAGTTTATCATTAAACAATACACATATTATTTTGTGACATTGGTTACCAACCCCACAACATGTCAACACTCTCCCCCCTTCTTGACCTTGGGTTCCCCATTACTGACTTTCCTGTCCCCTCCTGCCTTCTTGTCCTGTGCCCATTTAGTCTCACTTTGTTTTATGGGCTTGTCTAATCTTTGGCTGAGGGGTGAACCTCAGGAGTGACTTCATTACTGAGCTAAAGGGTATCCAGGGGCCATACGCTTGGGGTTTCTCCAGTCTCTGTCAGACCAGTAAGTCTGGTCTTTTTTCTGTGTGTGTGAGTTAGAATTTTTTTCTACATTTTTCTCCAGCTCTGTCCTGGACCCTCTATTGTGATCCCTGTCCAAGCAGTTGGTGGTGGTAGCCAGGCA